CCACCCATCCATTCACCCACCCATCCATTCATCCTCCCACCCATCCCCCAGATAGGTGTTTGCATTTATCATGCATATAGCATTGTGCTTGGATCTTGCCATTATTTTATTTAACAACTGATGATTATGTTAGGCTTACCTTGGCAATTTCTCTCACCCTTCACCCTATTTTTGCCCCCTGAAGCTAAGGCGTAAGGACTATGTTCATTCCTGAGCTTACTTTTCCTTTGGCTCCTGTATGGGTTTGCCCAGAGAAGTGTCCTAGCAGGAGAATGGTGGGCACAGGGAGGAAGTGGTGGGGTGTCTCGTCCAGTTTTGTGGGATAGTCACAGGTAGACTGTGTCCCTCAAGTGCCAGTAACACACCTCCCAGGTGATTAATGCCTGTGGTCACCTCCCCTGGAAGCCAGCAGCTGCCATGACTGGCCCCCAGGCCGCAGCCCCCACATCCCACCCCGCTCCTCGTGCTGCTTAGTTCTTGTTATTCTCTCTAGATTCTGCATACTCTTGGGTAGACAGTCCAGTTATTGATAACCTTTCCTCAGATTACCAGTTTGAGTGTGTTATATTTCCACACACACCCCTGACATAATCCAGGCCGCTTCTCAATGACACAAGTTCAGAAAGGCAGACCAGACTGGTCCAAGTTGACGCCTAGATTAAGTGACATCAGCAGAGCTGGGAAGCAGGCATGTCTGCCTCCTTACCTCTGCACGTATCCTGGAGACCCCCTTCAGCAGGAGGCTCTGCAAGAGCTTAGCCACTGACCTACTTGAGGTGGTGGGGGCGGGATGGGATTTAGAAGAAGGACAGGGGCATGTATCTGTGGAGGGTCTTTTGAGTAGCTGAGTCTTTGAACACTCAAGTCCTTTAGCCTCTAATTTCTGCATCTGCCTTGTGATAGAGACAGTATCTCCATTTTGCAGGTGAAGAAAGAGGCTTTGAGAGGTCAGTGCCTTGTATGGGATCGGAGTCTAGATTTTAACTTTTGTCCCTTCACTTTGCTGCCCAGGTTCAAGGTGACAGGGACTACGGACAGGCTCGATGTCATCAGTTTATGTTTTCTTATTTGGTTGAAATTGCTTCTTTATGCAAAGAACTGTTACAGAACTGAGACTGAGGAGTAGCTAAAATGATATTTTCAAATAAAGTGGAAATGAAAGCATAACATGGCATAAGTTTGAGAGATCTGTCTACCTCTCTACCAACCTACCTGTGGGAGTTTCAATTGATTGAAATCTCAAAATGATCTGTTAGTAATGCAATGCTTCCATTTCTTCTTTCTCTGCATATTTTTATGTTATTTGATTCCACAGAATAGTTAAGCAAAAATAATTTTTAAAAATGCTTTTTAAAATTGCATCAACTTCATTCCCATTATTTTTAACCATTGCATAGTACACCTTTAAATAACAATGCCATGTTTTATCTGACTTCAGTTGTCAGCCTTTTGTTTATTTTTGTGACATGGTGATGAACAGCTCTAAGAATAAAACTTTGATTTCTCATTTTTATTTTATTATTTTTTTTTAATACAGGGATTACGCTCAGTGAAATAAGCCAGAAAGAAAAAGTAAAACATTGAATGATCTCATTTTTTTTTAATTTGACTTTTTTACAGAAAAGTGTTCTCAAAACAGAAATGTGGACAACAGGGATGAATGGTTTTTGAATCTTGAGAACATGGCCACATTCCCATTAAAGATTTCCACTGCAAGGGTTAACCTCCTGTAGATAGAAGTGTAGATAAGACACTGAGCTTCCTGGGAAACTCCCCAGAGCTTCTGCAATAGGGCCTTGCCCATAAATGGCATGGGCTTTGGAAACTTCCCTTACAGTGGTAATTGGATTAGTTTTAGCCTTGCCTTCGCTGGTGAGTCCACCCTCCTGTAGGACATTGATTATCCCATTGTATGGTGAGGATTTCAATGCTGGCATTTCGTGGGCTATTCGTTTCTACCTACCCGTGTGTTTGTGCGTGTGCCCGCACAAACACATGCGCTTAGGTAAGGGGGTGTGCACCTGCACTCGCTACCCATTGGAAGATGTTGTGTCCAGTTCTGTACTTCTCTGAGAACAGGAAAAGGCAGAGGCACTAGTTGCTACTTGCACGTTTTACTTTTAAAAAAGTAAGCATGCTATTTATAGTAGGAAAGACATTGAATCAATCCAAATGCCCAAAAGTAGATGACCGGATTAAAAAGATGAGGTACATATACACAGTGGAACATTACTCAGCAATAAAAAAGATAAACTCATGCCTTTTGCAGCAACATGGATGGAGCTGGAAGGGATCATGATTAATGAAATAAGCCAGAAAGGAAAAGAAAAATACTGGATGTTTTCACTCATAGAAGGAGCATAAAGGATCAGGGGGAGAAATTAATAATAATAATAATAATAATAATAATAATAATAATAATAATAATAAACAACTATATATCAGAGACATTTTACTGAGGTGGAGTGGGGAATGGCATCAAAATTCGGGGAGGGGCAGTGCACAGGACCATGGTGATGGCACATGGGTGAACTGGTGATGGGAAGTCTGGGGGATTACAACTGAGGTGGAAAAAGGCACAAAATGATACAAAAATAAACTATTATAATAAAAAGAAAAGTAAGCATAACCTTTAGCAAAACCAGTAAGTAGTAATCGTTAATGACACAGGAATGGGATGTTACTTAAAAAAAATTTATCTACTTAGAAACAAATAGGAACCACTTCATATTTTATACATTTATTCCATAGGTTGTATATATTTTTATTTTCTCCGGGTAGTTAAAACTTTCTGAGCATAGTGTTTGCATGACAGTTATTGCAGAAACATTACTTTTCTTCTCCCCTCATTCAGATACATTTTCTTCTAAAACAATTTATGTCAAAATGTAAAGTCCATGAACAGATCTTCAAGAAAAAAGTTTATTCATGTATTCAACAAAATTCACTATGTACCCTTTTATGTATTAGGCAGTCTTTGCAATATTTATGCAAAAAGCTAATGTAATGACTTTTTTTCTTCCTCTTTGCTATCCCGTCTAGTCTGAAGTCTCCTGGATCCCTAACAAGCATTACTCTGGGATTTATGGTCTGATGAAGCTTGTCCTGACCAAGACCCTTCCCGCCAACCTGGAGAGAGTCATTGTCCTTGACACAGACATCACCTTTGCGACTGACATTGCAGAGCTGTGGGCTGTGTTCCACAAATTCAAAGGTAATTTAGCCACTTTTTCATCCCAGTATCTCTCAGAGTATCCATAGAGAAGCAATGGTCTTTTTCTTTGCATCTGAGGTCACCTTGGAATGAGGTCATGCTCTTGGAATGGATGAGCCTTTATAAGTAGAGCTGAGTATCAACTCAGCTGCCATTTAGTGCACACACGGGTAGAACTGGACTTGGATTGCCTTCATCCACGAAAAGATGTGGCCTGTGCTCACAGACAGAGACCAGTTCATGGGGCTTTTTAGAGGTAAATCCTGAATGTGTGGGCATGGGATGAAGAAGATGGAGTGTTGGCTTGGGCTGTGCAAAGACATGCATGTTTTCACCTTCCAGTTTCATCAAATGATACTTTGATGGCCCAGGAAACCTGTGAGGTAGTGAGATGGGTGTCTCCTAAGAGTGTTTAAAAATGTTCTGATAGCTTCTGTTTTGTTGACTGTGTTTTTCCAGTTTAAGGCTTTGCTGATATTTGGCTTTGCTGATGTTCCTTCTAATCAGGTCATTTACTTCCTGGATATTTTTGTAACTTTTGTCCTTGGCTCAAAGAATGTGAGAATATCTGATAGGGATCATGAAGCAGGTGTTTTTACTTAACTCTGGGTTGCGTTGTATACCTGAGAGAAGTCATAGTGCAAGTCTTCCTTAAAATTGTATTATTTTAAAAAAAAACTCAGATATAATAAGAGATGAACTTGGCAATGGAATTTTCTCTTTATTTTTTTGATTGGCACTCTGGTCTCTGTGTTTAAAATCCCTCCTGTCTCTTCTCTATAGCTCCTTATCCTGTGAAGGGCTGATACTGTCATTTTTAAAGCACTGTGATTTATAAATCACAGAATGTTCAGTTGCTTTCTGTTTTCACGCTTGAACAGAGGAGTAAAGTCCTCACCTATTCCGGTCTCCTCTGCTTCTTTCTAGGGGCCACTTTAGTCAGGGCTAATTGAGAAAAACCCTCTGCATCTCATAGGAGAGACACTGTGACCCAAGGACTCTCCCTTGTTGGGATGAAAACTTCCTTCTGGTCCCGGTGTCAATAATAATAAAGACATCAGTTAGCAAAACTGTTGAAACCCAGTATGTCCCAGCTTTCGAATGTCTTCTTCAGAAGAGGCCTGGATCCACCCTTTCATTTCACAAATAAAGAAACTGAAGCTTGGTGGGATGAGGGGTTGAGACCAGGATGTGTGCATGCCCGCTGGCTTCAAGTTCGCCTGCCATTTCTGCCACCCTTGTGATCATATTCAACTTGTTGGAGGCTGTTTGATGACGATGATGATGTATTATTGTGTGCCTACTGTATGTTTATCTTCAGTGACGCATTAACTGAAAGATGTTTCTCATCCCTACTGGGTGTCAGGTGATGTGCTGGGCCCTCGAAGTGAGGAAATGAGCAGTGAAGGCCAGCGAGGGTTGTCGCCTCCTCAGAGAGGTCTGCAAAGGCAGCTGGTGATGGTGGTGACCAGGGGCTATCTTGGGGAGCAAGAATCAGGTGGTGTGCAGTAGGGGGTGAAGGCCTTACTCCAGTGGCTGGCAGCGTTGTCTGCAGAAGCCACTCACCCCCCTTTGAGGATAGCCTCAGGCAGACACCATCAACCCCATCTCCTCACCCCCTACCTAAGACCCCCACATCATAGCAGCACTGTGGAAATTTGCAGGGCCGGCTTGTAGCCCCCCTTGAAGAATACCTGGCCACTTGCTCTCTCTGCCCAGAGTTCCCTCACCTTGCCTTTCAGCGATGCTGCTCACATAAGCCTTCCCTAAGTGACCCTCTTGCACGCTAACCTCCCTATCAGTTGGCTCCTAAGAAACTCATTTAGGGCTACAAGTCTGCCTGGGAGAGGTTTCACTGCAGCCTCTGGGACAGGCAGTCACTATCGGCGCATTGTAACTAGGAAATCACATGGATCTGAGCCCTGCTGGGACCTGCCACGGGGCTGATGGGGCTCGGGAACAGCAGTCGGGTTCAGGTTCTCAAAGCCAGTGGCAGGAAAGCTGCCAGAGCTCTAGCTGCTCCCAGAGCTGACCTGGGAGTTTGGGTGTGCAGGATTCTGAGGCACTTCCAGGACAGAGAAGTCCGTGAACCAGTGGCCGGACAGGGCCGGGAATCAGTGTCAGACGCCGGGAAGGGGCTCCGTGTCTTTTATGCACCCTCCGTTGGCTTACAGGGAGCATTTGCTAGTCTCCCCTGCAGGGGAGCTGACGAGATGCTGTGATCTACAGGTCTGGAACATCACACCTGCCTTCAAGGAGCTCTCGACAAAGGGCACTACATTGCACGTTTATCACTCATGAGCAAAGGCGTATAAGACATCAGAGGTTTGCCCATCCCCACCTTAATTTTTCTGGGAAAACACAGAGGTGAAAAGAAAATAAGTAAGCTCTTCTGTTCTCCATATGCCACATTCAGCACAGCTTGGTGGAGTGAGAGTGTGTGTGTGTGTGTGTGTGTGTGTGTGTGTACACGCATGTATGATTTTATTTTTCCTTAAACGGGAGCAACGGGAAGCCAGTCCGTGGAACAGAAAGTCTTTAGTACAAACCCATAAACACAGAACATTCTGATCCAGTAGCAAGAGTTCCCCTCTCATAAAGCTAATTGCAGTTGACATCTCTCACTGTAAACATTTTGAGTGACACTGATGTAATTTGGCCTTGTTAATGTCTCCCTGTTTAGAACCGCTTCTTATCTGGGGCTGCTAACTCATGTGTTCAGATCAGAGAAGCCTGGCCCCGCCACAGCTGTGAACCCCCCTTACCTGAGTCATTCCACGGGGATCTCATGAGCAGTCGAGTGAGAGCCGACCCCAGCCAGCCTCCACCCCTGGCAGCTCTGCCTGCCTCTGGGTGTTTCCAGGTGCACCTGAAGCCCCCTTCACTGAGCTGGGCATCGGCAGTCTGTGCCCTACACAGCCAGCCCCACCTGCACTGCTGAGAGACTTTCAGAGCCACTAATTCTTACTAGAAAGAATTAGACACGGCATTCGAGTTAGAATGAGAAGTGAGCCATTCCATTGTATTTACAGAGCTGACTAGTGCCAAATAGCTTCCTGACTGTTGAGGATGATTCAAGAGTAAGAGAAATCTGATCCCCACCCCTGAGAGCCATGATGGGATGTGGGGGGGCCGACAGACAGACAATAACCATATTAACAAGCAGAGTATACTGTGTGTGTGTGAGAGAGAGAGTGAATACTCAGCCAGGGCAGCAGTAGAAGGTCTTACAGAGAGGTGACAAGCAAAATCCTAAGGAAGCTGGGAGGACAAGAGACCGGCTGTCCCGGGAGGATAGGAACAGTGTCTAAGTCATAAGGAACAGAGAGTGCGAGGCTGGCTGAGCCATGAGGGCCGTGGTTTCGGAGGAGGGTGCAGAGCTAAGGTCAGAGCTGAGTGACTTCCATGTCAGGCCACCGGCCATTTCTGTAAGGTCCTGGGGGGTGGGTGTCCCTTTCCATCGGTGAAGAGGGAGGTCACATCACAGGGTCTGCTGCTGCTTTTCATGACTTGTGCGGGCTGCCCTTTGGCGAGTAAGGGGAAGCAGGAACCATGGAGGAGACTATATGCATCATCCAGGGAGATTCACGGTGGGCTCAGGTCGGAGTGGAGTGGGGTGCGGGTAGGGGAGACTTTTCTGGTTAGGGACACAGCTGAAGGCCTGGCCCTCAGGGTGTTTGGCTGATCGGAAGTGGACGGTGAGAGAACTCAGAGTGGAGGATGACCGGTGGCTGGGATGGGGGTGAGGTACAGGGTGACCAGCAGCGGGCAGGGATCAGGAGGGCTGTGTGGGGCATGCAGAATGGGAAATGCCCAGTTGGACATCCGTGAGGAGGTGGCGAGGAGGCAGCCAGAGCAAAGGGAAAGGGAACTGAGCTCCCTTAAGTACTTCTGTTCAAGCTCTGAGCGGAAAGCTTTACAAGTGGGAAATGCAAAATGAACCGCCCTGCCCCAGAGGCTAAGTAGCTGGTGGTGCTCAGAGAGCTTTTGCATAGAGCTGAGTCCAGCCTTTGGCTCTGGGGCTGGACTCTCCCTCCCTGCCTCCCGCCCTCAGGGCTCTGGGTGGGGGACACAGGGTCTGCCTGGCCCTCCGCTCAGGTGTGACTGCTGGTCACCAGGCACCCAGGACCGCGGAGAGCCAGAGCTTGTCTGCACAAATATTTGGAAATAATATCTGATTCTAGCAATTTGGGGAGGCTGTTGTGAGGACATAAATAATAAATGCGCGCCCATAATTTGAAACTTTTGGAAGAAAGCCATGGTGAATATTCAAGATAATGTTTTTATTCATAAGAAAAAATGTCTTCTCTTTAAGAAGCTGTCAAGTTCTGGCCCCGAAACCCATGTGGTCAGACTCAGGTGGACACTCCCTGCTCGCCCTCCTCCGGCCACGGTCTGGACGGGTGGTCAATCCAGTGGAGCGCGAGGCCTTGCGGCTCACTGCGGGCCACGCAGCTGGTATGTTCAGGCACTTGCCCAGTGCCAGCCCCTTGCTAAGCACTTTATGATGAACTCATTTCATCTTCATCATACTCCCATGGAATAATTACTAATGTTCCTATTTTTTAAATTGGGGAACTAATACATTGCGAAGCCCAGAGGCTCAGCTCTTCCCATGGTAGCACTGGGATTTGGACTTGGATGATCCAGCTGTAAACCCACATTGCTTTATCCTGCACCCTAAATCCCTGGAAAGAGGGGTGCTGGAGTTTAGGGTTCTAGACATAGGCCTAGAACCCTCAGTGACAAGTTAGCAGTGGTGGGCCACGGAGAGAGAGGCACCAGAGAGCAGAAGCCCAGGAAATGCTGTTTGTAGGATGTGGAAAATCAAACATGGTTTCTAGAGTCCTGGTCCAGCAGGTGACCTCCCAGAAGCTCATCCATAAATCGGCTGTGAGCCCCCATACTCTGCCTGTGTATGCATCGTGGTCCTGTAGAATCAGGCCCAAGCAGATGGACACCGCTAACTGTGACCACGCGGGTGACCCTTCTTCTGGGAG